GGAGAAGCTCATTAAGCTAGTATACCTGCATTGTACAGGAGGTGCAGTATGCCTAAATTATCTAAGATGAAGTCGTATGATATACATATCAAGGGTCTGTCAACTGCCTATCAGTATTCTGAATCGATATGTGACTAGCAATCGTACTGAAGATCAGTTATAGCACATTCCGACCAACTTCGGCTATGTCATATTTCATTGGACTCCAGGAACCTTCGCCTGCCGCTTCCTCGCTGTCACTTGGCCTCACGTCTTCCGAATTTGCTGCACCGCCGTTCAATCTAGGCTCAAACTGATATGGAAGTACTTCCATGTGCCTGGGGATTTCTTCGAAGTCTAAGTCTTCCCCGCGAATAATTCCGAAAGCTGATATGCGTTACCTCAATTGTTTTGCTTTTGTTTACACTTTCGGCATGCTGGTTTTGCTAGTCTGACGTCACGAAGTCACGTGAAAAGGTAAATTCATTATAGACCGACAACCGCGCGCATTCCAACGAAACTAAACAAATAAAAAGAAACATTCACGCCGCTGAAAATATTTTATTTGTTTCATAATGTTTTTATATAACATTTGAAAACAATTAAGTAGAAAGAGCACGTTATAAGATATTGATAAAAGTCCGTTAAAGTCATTTCTAGATCAGGTTCACGAAAGTGATTTTCAGCACTACAGTTACTATATGCCCGTGCTCACAAATACGGACATCCGGATAAGCGGATTCCCATAGGGAAACTCACTTTTTATACTACTTTTTGACATGTCAAAGATCCCATTGAAGTATTTATTGAGGTAACAGTGGGTTAAGTTTTTATTGCTTATCATAGGAATAATCAAGAAACTGCATACGAGTTATAAGGTTAGTGCCAATAGATGATTTTTATATGTATGGGTCATGCTATAATATCATACTTAATGAACTACTAAGCATCACGGTATGACGTCAGATCCGGTTAAATATACTTGCACCAGACAATCCCTGTTATACAATTGTTTCTCAAAGCTGTACACCAGGCAAGATATATCAAGTGAATTATTGATAACTTCCATTTGTAGCTGACTGAGAACAAAAAATGTTCACGGCCTTCATCTCATGTTTTATACATACATAATATTTCTGCACCATGAAGCATTTGTAATAAACACTATTGACTAATAAGTTAATAAATGAGGTCGATAAGTACACATAATTAATTGGGCGAATGCTGACAATATACAAGAGACAGGGTGATGGAGAAGTAAAAGTTGTTTATAGTAGTTTATATACGCTATCTCTCCTGGATAGGAAGAGAACAGTTGTACGCTACGTTATTGTCACTGGCATCAACTCTCGTGGAGAGGAAAGGAGACATTAGACAGGTTATACATCAGGTTGATGTCATTGATATCAGTTTGACTCTCCTGGACAGGAAGGGATATATTAAACAAGTTATACGTAAGGTTGATGTGGTTGACATCAGTGTATCTCTCCTGGACAGGAAAGGAGACATGAAACAAGTTATACGTAAGGTTGATGTGGTTGACATCAGTTTATCTCTCTTGGACAGGAAGGGAGACATTAGACAGGTTATACATCAGGTTGATGTCATTGATATCAGTTTGACTCTCCTGGACAGGAAGGGGTACAATAGACAGGTTATACACCATGTTAATGTTATTGACATCAGTTAACTCTCTCTATTTATATACACATTTTGGTTCTGATACAGAAATATCGACATTATTGAGGTAAGGCAACTTAAACCTTAGTTCACAACCCAGAAGAATTCTGTTTTATTAGTTAACATGACTTGTGATTTTGTGGTAGTCTCCAATTTTACTTCACCAGCTCATATAGACTTACTTATCTCCATAATTAGGGGAACGATTTTTCTCTGAGATTATATCAGTTCATGCTGACATTGTACCTATGTCTAGCGTGTTGGTGAGCAATGTCTCAAGCGTACTTAAGGACAATTAAAATACCAAGGCAGTAGTCGATATGTAGTAGTCATTGCGCTGTTGTATATGAAATTTCACAAACAAAAATTTTCAATCTGCTGTAAACAACACATGTTTGCTTGATTGTCTTGCACCATTTGAAATTGTCATATCTGGATATACTGTATTTACCATACCCTCGCTATAATATACTAAAAGGATAAAGAAACGCAGGGTGAACTTTAAACCAGAAATTAAGTATGATATCGGGCTTCATTCAAAACGAAATTTTGTATACTTATAGAAAAATTAAAGCTTAAAAATTTCCAAAGTCTGTATTTTGCATCTGACAATTGGTTTAGAGGTACTAACGATTAAATTTAATGGACTCATAGGATTTTGAAATTGAAATTGAACTGAGTCATCAATATCTTGTGTGTCCGCCGTTTGCTGTGGTCACGGCCCTTATTCTTCTGGTCATAGAGTTCATGAGAGCGTTAATCCGTCTTATGGGGATGTTGTCCCACTCTTCAATCAGAGCTCTGGTCAACTGCTCTCGAGTAGCAGGGGGTGGCTGGCGCTTTCGAACCTGTCTATCCAACTGGTCCCAAAGATGCTCGATCGGAGACAAATCAGGGCTATATGGCGGCCAATCAAGTGGTTGAATGTTGTTGTTGGCCAGAAAGACTTGGCAAATCCTTGCTACGTGGGGCCTAGCATTATCCTGCTGGAGGGTTAGATTATGCTGCTGTAAGAAAGAGATAACATGGGGTCGGAGGATCTCATCTCTATACTTAGCTGCTGTTAAATTGCCATCAATAACAACCAATTGTGATTTTAACCCGTGTGAGATTCCTCCCCACACCATTACTGAACCGCCCCCAAACCTATCCCTCTCTACAACGCAAGCGTCCGTAAAACGTTCGCCACGACGTCGGTAGACACGTTGACGACCGTCAGATCGATAAAGACAGAATCGAGCCTCGTCCGTGAAGAAAACTTGTCTCCACTGCCTCCGTGGAAACCGTCGTGGAGCATGTTGCAGCGACCCAGGCCATACGACGCCGACGTCGAGCAGGGGTAAGGTGTGGACCTACGTAGGGGCGACGTGCTCTTACACCAACTTCTCGTAATCGATTCCTTACAGTTTTTGAACTTATAGGACGCCCATGATTTCCACGAACATTAAGTGCACTCTCAACGACAGTAAGGCGCCGATTACGCACATGAGAGACGACGATATAGCGATCCTGACGTCGTGACGTTACGCGCGGACGTCCTGACCTAGGTCGATCGGCCAATCGCCCAGTTTCCCGAAGACGTCTTACAGGACGTTCTATGGTGGAAACATTAACACCAAAGTGCCTAGCAACCTGATTTTGCAGCTGTCCTTGCATCAGCATCTGAATGGCCTGACCCCTCTGGACTTCTGTGAGTCCTGCCATTCTTAAAACGAATCAAATTCTCAATTAATTTCAGGGAAGCAGTTAGTCTGTATAAAGACTAACGAAGAGTGACTTGACCAACGCTGCATGAGACCAGAACAACACGGTGCACGAGATTCTTGTTTTTTCCTTCCTCCATTTACCAGAGCTACGCACTGTACCGTGACTAAATTTTCGATACATGACAAGGTGTAATATGACCTAATCACTCAATCCACAAAGTTTCACTTTATTTTGAGAACGCGTTTTCATAATATCGGAATAAATATTACCCCGCGTTTCTTTATCCTTTCAGTATATGTACACCAACGAATTATTATGTTTATTTGTAAGGTCATTTTATCACTATTACATTCCTTAATGAAGTAATGTGAAACAAAATTCGATTGTTTGAAATGAAATATTGAAATAAAACGTATATCAGATTATTAGTCTAATTTTTAAAATGCAGAGTGGTCTTCGTTATTCAAAGTTTTCACCACAAATAACAATATTAATAATACAGAAAGGTCTGTGTTTCTGTACGTTTAAACATAGTCTATCATTACCGTGTGCTATTTCAAATCATCACCATCAAATAGAATATTTACGTTGCAAACTGATCTCCGCTTCTGCATGTTCATAAATATGTATTATTCTATAACACTTCAAGAAAATATTGATGTGCGTTTCTCTCAACATTTATTTTAATTGGTCGTTTAAACAGGTGCGTTATCACGAACCTAGTATCCATTAGATCGTCACCATACGTATCTTAAGTAAAAGACTGAGCTGGCTGGTAGAGGTAGTATTCCCCAGGTACCGAATACGTACCATTACGAAATATAAGACCACGTTTGACACAATTTGATTTCACTTATGGAAAAGATGGATATATAGGTGAGAAAACTTCAATTTTGGATTGACTTTGCGATGACATGGTGGAATTTATACAACGTTATTGCGGGTAAGTGTTTTCTCCCTTTGAATGATGACTGAATCAGTTACAGCTATAAGAAAATATCATTTAACCTTAAGGTGTTTTCCAGTTTGTTATCTTTATTTTAGTAATTACTTGTTTCATCTGTTTTCATTTCTTCATTGTTTTGTTGAAACTAGATTTATATTTTTGTTTTCCGTTTACTTGCCAATACACAGTCTTTGTCTAGAAATTCCTATTGTTGTCAATGTTAAGATTGTGATATGACGGCTTTAATTGATATAAATGACTTATACTAATTTATCTACAGTAAATGTTTGCTAAACCCTTTCGTTCGTCTAATGTGCGCATGACTAGTTATCTTATATGTTCCTATATTTATCCTACATACAGTTATAGATAAATTGCAGATTCTTCATATCAAGAAATTCAATTCAAATTCCTTCTGATCAGATCCTATATTTTTCATGTTACTCTTTACAATGTATATATTTTTTTGTACATCCAATATTTTTTTCTGTTTTACTGGACATGCAACTGTGAACATACAACACAAATACAACAGAAAATCTGACATCTGATGAAAAAAAGGTTCACGGAACGAACGTTACACTGCTTGAGATATCTTACAATGGAACAATGTTTTCCGGCACAATAAAACGCCAGCGCTTGCTTTGGGAATTATATTTTCTTGTATTTTCTCTTTGCTTTGTTCTAGACCAGACAGTCTGTTCGGAATACCTTGTGTCAGGACTCTATGGCTTGGATGATTCGGCTTTAGATGCATCATCTTCAAAGCCTTCAGGTATCGGCGGTATTCTCAGTCCACAAAATGCCAGGCTTTATACTAATGGAAAGCTCTCTGCTTGGTGTTCGAAAAACGAGGATACTCAACCGTATATACAGGTATCGTTTTTTATATGAAAAGGCCAAGCCTGAAAAGGCATGGCATTTACCAGCTTAGTACACATGTATTCGTACTTACTACAACAGCGGTATCGGACTGAAATAACTCATAGGTATCTGTAACGATATGAGGAAACAAAAAAAAGAAAGCTGGTGTCATGTAGCGAATAGGCTTGAGAAACATAGGACCAGGTATCGTCAAAAGTAAAAGACTTCTTTATCGGTATGACGTCATGTTTAAGTAATAATGGGTTAACAACAACATAATAATCATGCATGAAAAACTTTGATTAGGGTATTATATTAGGAGTATTGAATAGTATAAATAAGTTTTGAAGGTAGTTTCATAATGACTATAGATTCAAAGGTATTAATACGAAGATTTAAATACTGGGCACACTATTGAAAAATAAATATATGTATCAAAGGGTAAAAATATTTTAGATATGAACACCGGAGAGAAGCTTAACAAAAACAACACAATTCTGACCCACTTTTTATCAGTATCATTCATGTGTATCGTGTATGATTTCAGAAAAGGTTCATAACCCTCTAAAACAAAGTGAAAGGCCCACTAACGCTGAAAATTCAATTTTTTTCAATGGGTTCAGCGACGTTATGAATAATGAGTGTGTTATCGATTGGCCCCAACTATTGCACGAAATTGGTTTGACATGTTGCGAATCAGGAACTGTATAGTTGTTTGTGTAATCCATGAAAATTTATGACGAATATCAACAGCAAGCTCTTGTATGTTGAAATGAAGTCGTGGACGATCGTTAATGCGTTGCTGTAACATGTCCCACATTTGCCAGATCAGTTAAGGTCGGATGGAGATTAGGCCAGTCCATAAGCGCGATATATGTCGTCGATCACAAACACACACGTTCATGTGATAAATAGTTAGTTCCTAACATTATGTCATCCACATGACCACTTCGGCATTGATTTGAGTTCCATTAAGGGAAACCACTAGCTCCACCTCCCTCATAGGAGACTGGTCTCTTGATGATGTAGGTGGGGGAGTCGGAGAACTTGACCGACTTGGAAAGTTTCCGTTAGGTTCAGGGAGCATGAAACGAAATCTCCCTGTTTATGGAACTCTGATCTTTCAGATACAGTGGTATGGACGGTGATATCCGGTACCTACAAGTATACGTGACATGACTTTCTTAACTATTTCGCTACTTGTTGAAGTGCTTTTTATTGTTTCTTTTTCATTATGACAATATAAAACCGAATGGGTGTCGGACTCGAGATTCAAACATGGCTCAGTGGTTAGCTACCGATGCCTTAAAATACTTATTAAATACTTATTTATTGTTTTAGCATTTATTTCTTCCATCTTTTCTCTACAGCCCTCAGAGATGTTTCTGCATCACGCTGGTCATATGTGGTGTTGTCGGCATGAGCAATAGCATATAGCAAAGTCTGTATTCGCTGTGCAAACTCGGCTAAACTCTCTGTTTCCTCCTGTTTATCACGTTAGCTTTCCCGGTCGGTCACTGCAGTGAGATCTTTATTACTAAATCTCTTTTATTTTCTGTTTCAATATTTCAAAGGATTGCATCACCAACATAACAGTAAACAAATTGAGTAATTCTTTAAAGGCTCCATGCGTTTTCCTAAATTATACAACCTAACTTGAGGGCAAATTGCTTTCATCTTCCCATCCCTGACTACATGGCCATATTGACATCTGTGACAACGATGATCGCCCATCCGTCCAACATCAGGGCTGTCACTACTCCTACATTACGTGACTACTCCTCTCCCCTAAGTTGAGAAATCGTATGAGAGTTACTACTTGAGGGACTTGTACGTCTGCCTCTAAAAGTAGTTTGATATTGGTCACATGAACGACTTAAACCTGTGTCTCGTCAGTCAACCGGGCCGCGTCGCGAGTTATCATAGTCAACATTCATTCTACTCTCTGTCAACGCCTATATTCTTATTGGGTATGGATGGTAGGGTTCAGTCTACTAGTGGAACCGATGTTCATTAACCCTATTATTAGTTCTAGCTAACTGTACTTCATCATGATTGAGGTTCTCGCTTTTAACATTGTTTTGTCCTGGCTGAGAGTCCATGCACTCTAGCAACGAGTGCATAATCTGGGTCCCATGTATTCATATCATCTGATAACCGATGGTGGTCAGTTGGTGGATGTCAGCCTGGTTGTACCTATTGTCCTAGGGTGTGTCCATATCCAAGGGAGCTAAATTACCAACATGGATATCACAACCCTGTGCTTTTGGTTATAAAGTGTTAAGCGACTGACTCCTGGATTGACACTCTCCACTGTAAATCACAAAGGTCTGATTCATGTTTAAATCCCGATTTACTAGCCTTCTGTTCAGCATCTGATAATGTTAACACGTGTACTTTGTTCCCTCACATACCTGCCATCCCTAGGCATGACCTGTAGTTTGGATCCAAAACAGTTATCAACGTCCTAACAGTGTGATAAAGTTGTTGGTGCCTGTACCTTAGTAGTAATAGAATAATTCGGTGTACGAAACCATGAGTGTGCACATATTGACTTCTCCGAGACGTTGGCCATGTTACAGTTCCTGGGTTTGAATCAACATCAGTCTCTGACATAATTAAGGGCATCTGTGTACTTGTCAACATTAATTCTTTTGAGCTCCTTCTGCAGTTCCCTGAAGTACTTGGTTTCCATGAAGTCCATCTTCAGTTTACCAGTGATTGTATTACTACGTAGGGACATAAAATTGTATAACTAGTTGTTTTCAGGCACTAATTTAATGCCTGTAACAACTCGTTCTGAAAGCCATCCTTGCTACATATATCCATACCTGTTGTTATTTTCTTAACAAACACAGAAAAAAGACGCACACCCGGCCTTTATTTGGCAATAATTGAAAAAGACGGGTAAGAAGCGCAAGGTTTGTTCAAAATTACCTACGGCTAATCATAATGAAAATAAATTCTAAACTAGCACGCTTGAGAACAGGCTTGAGAACCGGCCTGGTCTGAATGCGTAGTTTGAAAGTTAGAAGTCAAAAGAGCGCCCTCGTGCAGGTTCGCGCCAAACTTCACAGGGGTTCTACGATATCTCGCGTCGTCCATGTCACTTTGTCAGTATTGACAACCAGGAGAGATAATTTCCCCCGGTTTTCCATAAAATTTAATTTAGGATCTGATAACGTGATGGATATCAGCTTTCGAATAGAGAAAAGAAAACACAGCATTCTGATCGTTCAAAGTTGTGATATATTTCATAAATTATATTTCATTAATGAAAGGGAAAACAAACATTCCCCATAAAAGTTTTAAAGGCATAAATTCCCATTTACTTGTTCTAACAAATCTTTAATAACCAAGCGCCAGTAAATAACGAACGACTGATATATCGGCATGTTTTAGGTTCGGTTTCCGAGAGAAGTCACTGGAATTGGGTCAAGACATATTACATTTCGTACAGCATTGATGGCAACACATGGACTGTAGTGACTTCACAAAACAACCAACCGAAGGTACGCTTGACTACAGCAGTGAACACAGAGGATTAGTGTTAAGAGTATATTTTGTTTACAGATTGATACCAAATATCATGAAATATAAGTATTTTCTTATATACTATATAACAATCATAGGTAATTTTGTCCTTGATGATTGAGTTGCTTTATCATGATACATTTTGTTCATTTTAGCTTATTTCAGTCCCCGGGATATACATTTGCAATTATTATCATTTAATATAACTTCATATTACTCGTAAAATATAGAGAGATATATGATTTCATCATCAAGATGCTGAATCTGAGGAAGTGTTTCGTATCTATTTAAACAAATCTCACATTCGTGTCGATTTGATATTTAACTTCACAAATAATTTGATATGTCTGTATAGGTAAGGCTCATGATATATCTTTTTTTTTAATTCACTTGATGAATTCGGCATTCTGTTTCTTTTTCGAAATGTATTTGAAGGATTACATGTTTGACATATTTCGATATGCAATTAATTCCTACATAATATGCTACACTTTCGTGTTCGCATACACTTTGTGTATTGTTTGTGTCAATCAGTGTACTTGTAAATTGCAAAAGGGCGATTTAAATGACGTTTTAAAGAAATTTCGATTGTGGATTTCGTTTTGACGGCTTGATCCGGTTAATTTCAATGCTTTCTGGTTGCTAAGGTCTTTTGTAGTTCTCAAATAGATTTTATTTGATTTATCACAATTTATCGCAGATTTCAAACTCCAAATTTCCTGGAAACTTATCACACAAAATAAATATTTCAGCTTGTTTCTTGATCTTGAGAAAGAGTGAAAATGTCAAAAAAATAAGATAACCACTCTTTTTGGCAAAATCTATACTGTATCGAGCATATTGAATCAAATGAAAAAATAACATTTTAACAATATCTGCTCCTTAAAATTTTAATACCATGCAATAAAAGACGGAAATATATTCTTAAAAATAAATCATGTTTTTTTCCTGTTACACATATTCTGACGGCTACACAGGTAAACGGATTGCCTTTTACCTTTCTAAAATGTATCCGTACAAATACACCGTAGGAGTACATTCTTGGTTTGTTGGAATAGTATCAAACATCATAACTCATTCTATAAGCATGTGTTCTGCGGCGGGTACATATATCAGTATTTTAGTTTACTATTTTTGTTTTCATGTAAAACGGTAGATATTTACCGGAAACTATGATCGCAATACCTTGGTGAAATCGAACCTTGTTCCAAATATCACTGCGCGGTACATTCGAATCAATCCCCAAAGTTACAATAAACACAATTGTCTTCGATTTGACCTTAGCGGTTGCTACAAAGTTGAAGAAACAGGTATGTAAAAACATCGCTATTGAATTTCTTTCCTTTCACAATACAGGACAGGGAAGCACCTCTGTACATGATTTTTATATGATAACGTACCACCAACACGAAAAACCCATCCTTTGGACCTTCGTAACTTGAAAACTGGAAAGAAATTAAATATTTTTTTTATATAAATTACGATTTCAATAAATTACGATTTCAATAACTTTCTCAAAAAAATATTAGGATATTTTCTAAGTATATACATCTGTCATTATCAGATGGCAACAGGTTTAATCTCTGATAAGAGAAAATAAAGTAATATTGTCAATTATTCTATTATCTTTCCCTTTAATATCCCTGCAGAAGAAAATTAACTTGCTTATTTGTAAATTATAATCTTTTATTCCAGAGCGATACTCAGAATTCAACAGAGTGCCAATTTTACCACCTATAGAATATGAACAGCATGTTTTGCTTGAGACACAGTCAAAAAACCTCCCAGCGTGTGGTAAACTATGCCACATGGACAAGGAATGTCGTTTCTTCAACTTTGACATGATCCAGAAAAAATGTAATATGTTCTCCTCAATGCATACAACATACACAACATTTTCTGCCGAAATGACGCCATTTTTTGTCAACAAAGGTAAGCTATATATGATTGAACATAATTCTTCATAAATCACTAAAAATGTACAAAAATCAGGTATGTGCATTACTGAGAATCGATGTTACCTTTAAACAAACAATTCCATTTTCATAGATTAAATTGCAGATGTAATTTTCATTGTAATAATGGTGAAGAGATGTCGGGGTTTAATGATTTTCAGGAATATGTTTATAATACAGCACCAAATGAAAAAAATGCTAAGATATTCAAGAGTGAAGGCCTTTGAAAAGTTGGTTTATCAATCAAACTATACTTGATATATAGTGAAGGGTCCTAAAACTCATTTTGAAAAAGAAGCATCATTTTGAGTCTACAATGACGGGCGTTCAGATAATTTGAATTATTGAGAAATTCCTACATTTCTGGTTTGTTTTGAAGTTTGAAGCTACCAAATAGTTTTCAATATCTTCTATGATATTCATGTAACAATGTTAGAGGACTGCGGTAGTCATGAGGTGGTTGGGATATAATGCTATTTCTTGCAATCGTAAGTTATTTTCATCTTAGCAGCAGTAATATTGTTAAGTTAAATGATTAAACCTTATAGCTTTCAGAGAATTGATTAACTTCAGCAACTTTACTGTCTTTTGAATTTATAGTCATAGTTTATAATAATGCCAAACAAACACTGCTGTCGTCTTTCGACATTACAGACACATGCACTGGATTATGCACGATATCATTGCTGTTTTCCAAATATTCAAACAGCGAGATTCTCCAATTGATTTAATCCAATAACATAACACAATTTCCTGATGTGTAAGTAGTATTTAGCCAGTTCCTTCAGTTCATGAAATTATCCTTTATCATCAAACTAATTTATCATTAGCGGAGGCGATACCTTGCAGATGGATATCACACCAGGTAGAAATTCCCAGTGGAAAAAATCCACTTATAACAATAAAAGGTTAGGTTGTTTTGAACTTTTAATCATACTTTTACGGGACAATGATTTAGATTGTATAGCCCTGTAGGTCTTTTTTCAACTTTAAGGTAAATATACGTCTCTTGGTTACCGTCAAATTCAACAAGGAAGGTTCATGTATAAAGTGAACGAAGTCAGTATGAATCAGGAGAGTGCTTCAAAGGAGTGTATGCAGCAACGTTCATGGCTGATCAAGATCGACTCCGCATCCGACATGTTGAGTCTACAGAATGTCATCACCGGAAACATTACACTGGGTAGGAATAGACGTACCCCCCCCTTTTTTTTAATCAGTTGTTTTGTGCTTGATAGATTGATGATATTTGATAGTTTTTCACTAAATATAATATATCTCGAATTGACAGTATATATGAGTACAACTAAAAAAAATATACATGTCGACTTTCTGGTTTGAATATTTTTGTCGAATTAAGTCGCAATATTTTCAACAGACCTATTTTTAGTGTTTCTAACTGTTCTCTTCTGATCCCTGGTTTAATTTACCAAAGAGCGTATCGAAGCAGGTCACAACGTCCATGAAAAAATGTCCTGTATCTCCAAATTATTGTCTTAACATGTCGAAGTTGATCCAATATTCAATAGCATAATCCAGTGTCTGGATTTTCTTGCAAAAAAAAAAAAAAAACAAACAAACAAAAAAACAAAAAAACGGAAGAGTAAGCGTCTTCTGCTTCATCGTCGACACCCGCAACGAAACTTGGTCACTCGAAGTAATTAATGTCAAGTGTTCTAAAACGAGAACAAGGTATACAACAACGGAACCAACAAACAAAATCCTCCAGATTTTATATCACACATCTTCCCCATAATTTCCATCAACAAGTTTGAACACCTAAGTTGAATTATGTGTATGTGGATAAAGATGAATTTACATATAAATACCGTTTTTTAGGCTTATCGACCACAATTGACAAAGCAAACCAAGGTGAATATTTGTCAATCAACGTTAAATCGAGATAGGAAATTGCCAACAGATCCTAAACCGAGGTAAAACAAAATTATAGTCATTCATAAACTGATTAAACTATTGGCGAATTATTTCTAAACCGAAGTAAGCATTGATAAATTATCCCTAAACTGAGGTAACCATTGGTCAATCATTCCTAAACGAGGTGATTATTGGTCAATCAGTCATAAACTGAGGTAAGTATTGATCAGTCGTTCCTTAACAGAGGTAAGTATTGGTGAATCATCTCTAAACCGAGGTAAGTATTGGTGAATCAATCCTCTGACCGAGGTAATTATTGGTCAATCATTCCTTAACCGAGTTTAGCATTGGTGAATCATCTCTAAACCGAGGTCAGTATTGGTGAATCATCTCTAAACCGAGGTAAGTATTGGTCAGTCGTTCCTAAACCGAGTTAAGTATTGGTCAATCATTCCTTAACCGGAGTTAGTATTGGTCAATCATTCCTAAACCGAGGTAAATATTGGTCAATCAAGCCTTTGACCGAGGTAAGTATTGGTCAATCATCTCTAAACCGAGGTAAGTATTGGTCAGTCGTTCCTAAACCGAGATAAGTATTGGTCAATCATTCCTTAACCGAGGTAAGTATTGGTCAATCATCTCTAAACCGAGGTAAATATTGGTGAATTATCTCTAAACCGAGGTAAATATTGGTCAATCATTCCTTAACCGAGGTAAGTATTGGTCAATCAGCAGTAAACAGAGGTAAATAATGATCAGTAACTTCTAATGATATGATATTCCTAGATCGAATTCTTTATTTATGAATCTATCACGTTAGGCATGTAAATTGCCAGTCAATCACATTGGTTAGTTTTAATGGCTTGTCTGATATCTCATACTGTTTATTTATTTTAATGACATTCTATAACTAATTGTATAAAAAGATATTGTTCTGTATCAAAACATGACACATGACACAAATATTTTCCTTCTCTTTTTTGCAGAACTTGGCTACTCTCACTTGTTTGTGTCCGGTAGGTATTTGTCAATGAAATGGCAGCACAAAGACGGCTCAACGATTAACAGCTCCCTCTGGTCGCCAGGAAACCCTTACCCAGGTCAAGGTCACTGTGTGGTGATGACACCGACTGGCCTTGTCAGCGCTAATTGTTTGGAGAAACATTTCTCTGTTTGTGGTTTTTAGAGCAAATCACTCTGAGAAAACGCTACAGAATTAAATTATATAGTGGATTAGAATATCATTCACCACCCAAGTACCATATTGTATTTTAGCATAATATTGAAGTTATTTGTAAAAAAATCAATTAAGTCCGGATCTCTGAGCATTAATCCTGATATCAAAACATGTAACTTAGTAGATTATGTATGATCTATGGAGTAATAACGACAGGACAGACAAATAAACAACAGATAGATAAAAATATTTCTTATATTTGTTTATTAGGATACAGAACTAATATTGGTCCACACTGTCGATATAACGTACTATATATAAAATTTATATTCATGCGGTTGAGTTTACCTTTTACGTGTCTAACCGATGAACATCGTATTGACAAGTTAAACCTTTATATATGAAAAATGCATACATATCTATTTTCAATTAATATTGTTCACTTTTTAAGTGCACTCAATACATTGCATGATGAAGAGGGACTGTTCTTTTTCCTTTGCTATAATCTAACAAAGAAAACACTTCTTGTACATGGAGTTATTCTACAGATACTGAAACTAGTAACAATTTGTTTCTGTAATGTTTAGCATTTTATATAATTAGTATTTCTTTATTGTTAAGTTCCATAAACTGGACAATATGATTTTAATTAGAAATAAAATTCGCTTTGATTTTATTTAATTAATTTTGAAAATATATATATATACATTTTTAATCCATCTATGGGTTTTCTTTCTCAAAGCAATGATAATGCATGTAGTACTGAATTGAATGAGTTAAAGGTAGCAGCACACAATGTTATCACTGGCGATTTATTTGTTCATTAGATTATCCCATGATAAAGGTCTTAACTATTTTTTTGTTATAAATAGATAATCGTTAAAATTGGTTTCGTTATGTTGAAGTGGGGTTTAATTCTTTTCAGAATGATATTTTAGCCTTGTGTTCGAGATTACTATTTGGGCAGTCTCGAATCTGTGTCTAGGCACCAAAACTAGCTTCAAAGGATATGAAATTTTCATAATGTTTACACGTGGTCATGTTGTGAAGGATTTTCAAGTTGGAATTGCTGAAATGTAAGTAGTTTGCTACAACGACAGTGTTGTTACTTTTAAGAGAGGTGTTCAGAAATAAATTTCTTCTACAACGTTGTACTGTTAGTTTGGAATACACATTTATTTATTTTTGTTTTTGGTTTTTTTGATGTTGTTGCTTTTCTGGCATTTAATTCTAATTTTCAAGCTACTACCTTTTTTCACCGACATTACCAATAATTTAAGGAAAAATTCAAATAAGCTGTTTCCTGCTACCTTATTTTTAATGCATACTCATAGATATTACTTAGTCGACGTAAATCTAATAGATTGTTTTTCGACTGTGCTTTCACTGTTTAATATCTTTTTATAACTAATATACATAATCTTTAACTTAACAAATAATGTATGCATGTTAACATATTTACAAATCTCCCCGAAATCCTCATAAGTTACCTTATTTGTGACTTATGGTTTTATGATGTGTAAAATTGATCCTTTTGAGGTGAAATATTCGAGAAATCATGAACTTTTTTCAAAAAAAAAAGTTACGATGCACTACGAAAAGACCGTAAAGATTCAAGGTAGTACAAGGTTTCTACTAGAGTTGTAGTTCTTTACAGTCATGTAGGGTACTACAACGAACTGTTGGACAGATTAAACCAGTCATAAATTCTTTCAGAAGTGAAAAATTAAATTTGTTGTTTTTGTGGCAACTGTGTGTTGTTTGTGGCAATGTGTGTGCTGGTTTTTTTTGGCAAGTGTGTATGGTCTTTTTGACAAATGTGTGTGTTGTTTTTGTAGCACTTGTGTGTGTTGTTTTTGTGACAACTGTGTCGGTTGTTTCTGTGGCAATGTGTGTGCTTTTACCTCGGCAAGTGTGTGTTGTTTTCGTGGCAAATATGTGTGTGTTTTTTTCAACTGTGTACTGTGTGTGATGCTGGTTGTATAATCTACAATTTTGTGAATTTCATAAAACCTTGGATTAGATTGGTGATAGGTGTCAGGTGACAGAAATGTCGTTACTTTTAAAGAGTTGTCTCCCCTACGCCTTTTGAATGTATTTCATTGCTAATTACTTTCATCCTGACTCTGTTCAAATAAGATATGACACTAATATTAAAAAATATGTGCAACTAAAGGAAACAGAGCTAACATACCCACCCGCTTTTGACCACTGATGGCCGGTAATAATTATGAATTGTTCCATGTTCTAACCTGGACGTTTAGAGCGTCAGGAAGATTATGATTATTAACAGATCAAGAAGTAGATGCAAATATTTATATTTTGTACGTATGAATGTTGTATGGTGTGTGGTGTGCGAGAACCCTTCTGCGGAGAGGGCATTATTTGTAAGGGACAGATCCAAGGGCCCCAACCCTGACAGTCTTAATTATCAATGGAATAATAAAATATTTGTAAAAAAAGTAGATCTGCAGTTATATACACATAACTGCTATATATCATTGAACATATTCTTTAATAGAGTATCAAAAAGACCTTCTTCTATATTGGATTCCGAAACTTCACATGAATCCATATATGCTGGCTCGTCTAGCTGTTTAACCAAGCCATTGTCGAATCTTCTTACCATTGTTAGTACTTTCAAATCAAGGTCTTATTGTGATAATGATTATTTTAGAAGGAAGTGGAATTAATGTTATGTAGATTTTTAAGAACTCAAAAAGAGATTTTGACAAACTCCAAACACCCTTCTATAAACATATTTGATCTCCCCACTCTGTACACCACGATACCCAATCCTAATTGAGAGATTACTTTTGATTACTCCTGACAACTTTCCTTTCCAAGAAAGGTAAACGGTGGTGCAAATATCTGGTTGTGAATTCTACTGACACGTAAACGTCCAAATCAAAGCAGAACATATACGCAGGACGCAATCATACAAATGCCTGAGTTCCTGCCCAACTACATATTCGTCAACAGCATAATGGTATACCTATGAAAACTTGCTTTTGTTTTCAAACAATGCTACATTTATCGAAAAGTTTATCAAAATCAGATCAAAGACTTTGCAAGTTCCTTCAATTTCTCCTTCATATATATTTTGTTGGTATCTTATCCTTAAAAAGTCAGGGTCACTGTAGATTCTCCTACAATTGCCACTTTCCGTGATCATTTCCTATACTGAAACCAAAAAGGGCAGCTTTCAATAAAGTTATATGACTAGCGTACATCACAGGCAAACATGGACTATTGTTACTGTTGACATATAGCGATCTCATTGGTAAATATGTTATTCTGTATGTGATATGAAGCTTGACGTGTTTGATGCTCGTTCGTTTCCTTCTTGGTATTGTATTTGTGTACCCTGTTCTATTTTTAGAATGTTACAATACATACGTGTATAGAACAGGATTAACATGGCGGGTGTCATTGATGAAGCAGAAGACACTTTTCTGGAATACGTTTTTATGTCCAATTATTTCTCAGGAGTCTCGGTGGAATATTTTGTTTTCATATTTTGCCCCGATCGATTTCATCCCATTTGAGTATAGTATAAGATCATAATGACATGTTTTTATTCTATTGGTTCTTATTGTAGAGTTAATGTATAGAGGGTTTAACAAGAGTTTCAATTCATGCGAAATAGTTATACTTAGAAATTTCAAATGGTCGAACGAAAATTAGAATATCGAGTCGATCATTCTTAAATCAGTCTTAAATACTTTTGAAACAAATGAAAACATCAATTTATTTAATCGGTACAAATTAAAATTTTGCCATGTCCTGCAAAAAATTAATTTCAATCATCATCGCATTAATTTCCTTGTGCTTCATCTTAACATCTTTGTACAGCCTCACTTTTATTAGATATGATTGATCGCGTTACATATTCGTATTCATATGTTCAAATTAAAGCTTTAGTCAAGTTTATTTGTCAGATAAATGGTTATTCCGCATTTAAATTAAAGATTACTAAATTAAAGGGGACTAAATGGTAGACACATTAGGGAATGTCGACCAAGGTTAGTTTGAAACTGATAATCATTATCAATCAATGTATTTCAATAAAGTGCTACAACTTGGTGAATAGTCTACTTTTAAGTATAACAACGCTTGCAAGAAATAAAACTCATGAACAAAATAACGAAATATAACCATTTAGTCCCTTCAAGTTGTTTATGTTTTGTTGAATACATTGTACAAGTATACAGTTGGCTTTCATCAATTTTATCCGTAACAAATAGGAGTTTAATGTCTATATCTTAAATCTGGTAATGATGCATTCAAAATCTTGTTTGATTCTTTTGTGTTAGATATCGTTTGTATGTGTATAATAAATATGGGCAAAATCCATATGAGTTTTTCTTCTTATGTCCGAACTAACGCAGATACCATAAAATCATATATTGTGGTTTTCTTGGAGACTCTTCTTTGTAGAAATAGCAGAGTTCTTTTGATATTGTTTTCATATATATGAAGGTCCGTCTGTCTGTAGGTTGAAACATTTGACTGAAAGTGTTTTACGAAGGTATACAAAGTTAACTGCCTCCTCGGTAAATCAACCAAGAAACTTTTGATCTAGAAGATATCACTTGTCAACCTGTACTTGGTGGTAAAATATATCACTACAAAGGTCAAAAAGATCGCTGGTATATTGCTTATCAATATGGTATTCTTTCAATGAATTGTACTCAAACATATATGAAAATCAAAGATATATTGATATTGATTAACATCATTGACTTACTTGACCTTTGATCTATGGTTACCTATGTATTGACCTTTGACATAATAGGATTTTCTGAAATAAAATAGTATACATGTACCCTGTTCTCTGATAGTGAGATGAATTGTTTTGACCTTAGACCTTTCCATTGACATTTGGTGCAACTTTCCATTGTTATGTGGTGTTCAAACAAGAAGTATAGCATACTGGTTGACATTGATCTACAATGTATGATTTACTTTGTGACATTTACTGCATTTCGTATTGACCTTCGACTTAT